TCGCCTTCGTAGCTCCAGTGGCAGTTCCATTGCCATTTCCCTTGCCGGCTCACACACACAGCTATTAGAGCACAATTTTCAAATGTGTGCTTGGCTTGCACTTTGGCTTAATGCTTTCATTTGAGTGGCCCGCATGCTCAACTTGCATTTAAGTGCAAAACTTTCTAATTATGTGCCCAGAGAGTGAACTAACCAGCGGGAATGGCACGATGGCGGTCTGACGTTGATGTGGATGTTTATACTGATGACGACTTGAGACTGCAGTGCCGGCGGAATGGCGACTACAACACGCTCTTGGCAAATTAATAGACTGTAAATATGTTAATGATGAAAGTTGTGTTCTTTCGTTCGTTTGGCTTTGAGCGGAAATGAGCCCTGCTGAAAGGCTGCGAAAAGTCCGGGGCCACCGGGCATCAATAATAATCAGGAGCAGTAATGAGTGGCAATAAAAATATTAAATTTCCCACTAAATTCAAATGGGCCGACGATGGATCTAGAGTGACCTTGCCTAGTTATTTATTGTGCGTATTTGCCTTTGCCCGGCTGCTAATTTAAATTTATTGTGCCCAAGCAATTTCCAAGTGGCCCCGCAATAAATTTCAAATGCTAAGCCGCCGCTCAAGCCGCAATCATTAATTATAATTCATTGGAGCTGGTTATACTACAAGCCGGAGAAGTGTTCTCCACTATAGTGGGCCCGATCCCTGGGTCCTTTTGATGAAATGCGTAGAATGGAGTCCCACAAACCGGACAACAGTAAATCGATTATGTCCAGTAGCAAAAGGGTCCATGCAACGCACTCTAACTGCCACAAACTGGGTGCACTGGCCGAAAAGTGCAATATCGGAGGTAGTTTTAATGGGTTATAATAATATATAATATATTTATAATAGATATTAATAAAGTAATCCAGTCTTACCTTTTGTCTTTAAAAAATTTCAAGGCCATTTTATTATCCGTAGAATTTTTAATTATTTAAAATAGTTCCCTTTGCAACTTAATATTTGCAGTGTGCATTTGGACAGAGTTCGTTTAACGAAGTTGTCGTCCAGCTGTCATTTGCTCTCTAGTCCTGCGGTTCCTGAAACTGACGATGGGCGGCGGCGCAACTTTTCATGTTGGCTCAATGCAGCTCCCAAAAAATTACACATGTAAATTGCATGTGCAAACCGCAAAACGAGTTGTGCTATTTAGTGTGTGAGCTTCCAAATAAGGTGTCAATAAATTGTGCAGCCAGTCCTGCCCAGCTACCACTTCTGCCAAATGCGGCCAGCTGATGCCGATGCCGATGTTGCCTGCGAGCGTTTAATTTGCAAGTGTCAAATGTCAATAGATTGCTGTCTGATGCTCGGTGCAGCATTAAAGTGCATTATTATGGCCCAGAGCCAGTGACAAGGATGCTGTGGCAGATGGTGTGGGGCGATGACAGCACGGCCTAAGCCCAAGTCAAACAATTGTGGGGGGAAAATGAAAACAAGTTAGATGGCAGGTATCGACAAGGAAAATACCCTGAAAACTCGAGATTGACCATACATTCTTGTATCATTTCTCGTACTTTTAGCTTTAAGATATCCCCATGACTTGGCCACACACGTCCTCTTAGCTTACACGACCTTTTGCGTGGCAATTTACATTAAACTGTGGCACCAGATGCCAAAAACTTTAATTACAGCCCACGCACTGCCACTCTCCCCTCCGGCCGTCCCATCTAAATCTATTATTTGGCAACATTCTCGGGGTGGCAGTGATTAAAAATTAATTTGACACTTTGCGCTTGCATGTCAAAGTAAGGCGAGAGGAGAGGCCCGGGCCCTGTCCGAAACTTTTGCCGAGCGCTTAGCTTGCATAGTAATTAATGAATGCTGTGGGTGGGAATCGGTCGGGGCCAACTGCAATGGCCATAATTAACGCGTTTCGTGTGCGACAAATGATGGTGCTCAAGGTTCTGGTGAGGCGGCGACGGACGGGTGCTGGTGCTTTAGCTCGCATTATTTTTAATGGCTCGGTGCGTGTTTTATTTGCGCCTCTTGTTGTTGTTATTGCAATTAACTTGTTGCCCCAACACCGACGATTGTTTCATGGCAGCTAGCCATTTTTACCTCGATTCACTGTGGGAAATTTGTCAAGGGCTAACAAAATGAAAACAAAGTAAATGCAGCTAAGGAGCAATTAAATAGGAAACAACTTGGTACAAGTTTTAAATTAAACAACAAATAGAATTAAATGTATTAGCTAAAAAAAATAATAGTATTAACTAAATTTTTCCTTAATCAACCACTGATTTATTCCATATTTTCTGAGCACATCTTATACCACCGTCCAACGGGGCGTATACTTAATACAAGCTGCCTAGTACCGCGTTATGCATTCTCGCGTCTCGTAGAGCGATATTTGATGGGCAAAGGCTAATTTAAACGATGCCTGTTATGCAAGCTTCGTGGCAGCAGTCATAAGTCTTTCAATTTGGCTTGGCACGTGATGGCCAATGAGCCACTGAGCCACTAAGTCGCCGGCATCTCCCCCCGTCACTTACGTGCATCGATATCCAGCTTACGGCTACTTAAGTCTTCAGCTTGCCCATTTCCCCTCCTACTTGCATCTCACATCGCTGTCACGTGTGGCATCTGATTCCGGAAGCTGACGACAGTATCCACATTTTTTTTTGTGTTGCTGCGGAAAAGGGTAACATGGAAGCTTTTTAGGATTAAAATATTAGGTGGATATTTTGACAAGTTGGCTTATGGACGCAGTCAAATGCATTAAAGCTAATCTGCTTTCTAAATTATGTTTTGCCTTTGGCAAAACTGAAATATAACAGGATACAAAGAAATGGAAAGATTTTTCATCTATTAACGAGTTTCAGTTTTGTGCTAGCAAGTCATCTGTCACTATGTCAGCTAAGTATTTTGTAAATCTTCAAGGGAAATAGGAACGATTGTCAAGGGGAAAGCTTTGACTTTGTTTACACAAAGAACTATTTTTGTATTGTTTAACAACAATTTCAATCTTTTCTTATGAAATTGCCATTGATATGATTACGAGTCATAGAAATTTTACTGATTTTAAGCTTTTGACTATAATGTTTTTACAGTGTACAAATAACATAGAAAAGATGCATTACTTGGAGTTTTTCTGATGAGTTAACAGAAGAAAAAGGTAACCATTGCTCCAGCGCATCTTGGGGAATGGATAGCGACTGGGCGTTGCAAGGATGCAGTCCATCCATCTGGGATTATTTGGGATTTATGGCTTATTACTATTACAACATTTGCCAAATGAATAGAGTTCTGGCATGCGCAGTTCCAAGGAGGGGAGAGTAATGAATAAAATATAAGAAAAAAGTATAAAATGTATATTTCATCCAGCTGTTGCCATGTGGAATTGCATAATTGTCGCGCCTGATCGATGGCGCTCATAAATCGGCTGACTGGCAATGACCTAAAGCATATTTAATTATTTAATTAGCGCTATCTAAAGAGCGCATCTATAATTTTATGCATCGACAAGCATTAATGGCGTCATAATAAAATTAATACATGGCCGACAGGCAGCTGCGAGGGAGCAGCATTCCCCGTAATTATATTCCATGCATCCACAGGCAACGAATGCAATTTCTGCTGCTGCAATTTATGTTGCTGTGGAAGTTGCAATTGCATCAGGCCACGATGTGTATGCGTATGCAATGCTGATTGAGAGCAGCGCATAGAAATTGCTTTGATTTCACGGCTGATTGATGTGCTGTGGCTGTGGCACTGGCACTGGCACTGGTACTGGGATATGTTGCCAACAGAAAGTGAACAAAAAGCAGGAAGACTTACAAGTGGAAAACGCAGCTTACAAAGCTGCAGAACAGTCTGCTTTCCAATTAGTCAAATAAAATGTTTTCATTTTAAATGAAAAGGTTGAAAGCCTAAGGCAGATTATATTACATTTTTGAAAGGATAGGTGACAAAAGTAAAGACTTACAAGGATGCCTGCAAAATATTTGACCTTAAACTTATAAAGGCTTTAATCATTTATAAAAATGCAAGGACTTGAAGCATAGAAATCGAAATGAAGCATAAAAAAGGCTTTATGGGGACTTATGTAACAGTTTCAGTAATTAAATCATAACAGATTTTAGATTTTTACACAAGAGTGAGTCTTTTTAAATCATTAACAAATTTGTAAAGGCTTTTAAAATATTTGTTTGAAATAATAAAAGGTTTTTGTGAAAGAATCTTAAAACAAGAAAAATTTGATTTTCACTGAACAAAGTCATGTCTGCAATAACCACTCTCTGTGTCGCAAAAGTTAAGCACCTTTTATTTTAAAATGAAAAGCACATCCAGATGTGATTTGAATATCGTAATATATTTTCTAAAGAAACTCTGATTGATGGCGACCCTTCAGTGCCCAACTTCAAGGCAATTGAGTTATGTCGAGCATTTCAAATATTTCACTATTGTCTACGCAAATTTGCTGACGTTTGGGGCGTGTCAAAAGAACGCCATTTGAAATTGAATTTGACGTACATATGTACGCCCTTCCGAACAGCGATATTAGACTTTTATGACATGTTTCCCCCGCACACACACAGAATAAAACCGTGGCAACACTTGTAATGTGTGCGTGCTGCAACGCCCACAAAAATAAAGTATTCCGAAACAGAGCTCGGCTCAGATCGCATTGAACCAATTCAGCGTGTCGCGGATGACACTCCAAAAATTGCAGGTCTCGGCCACAATACAATCATTGCTTAATTTGTGTATTTCCAGTTTTTAGTCCTCCATTTGGCATTTTGCTATCAATTGCCGCTCTGTATGGGCTGTCATTTATTCATTTGGCTCGCGTGCCGCCTGTCTGCCAAATGGATTCGCAATTCGATTGCAAATGGCAACCTGCAATTAGTGTGCGTTTCTAATGACAGTCATCACAGAGTCGAATATTTCCACGGAGCCCCTGGGCTGTCTCATAAAAGGGCCATTTCCGGCCCTTTTGGCCCTTCATTGTGACTTCAAAATGCTGAAATGCCTGGCTTTGTCCGTCGTTTTACTGGTCTGTGCCGCGGCCCAGGAGCCCAGACGGGATGCTGAGGTTGGAGTTATTTCGAAAACGGAAGTTTTCCAGTTATAATACATTTTTTGTAGTATCCCCCACCAGCAATTCTGAAGCTGGCCAAGCATTTCCATGACATTTGTGCACCCAAAACTGGCGTTACTGACGGTAAGAAAATCCTCTCTCCACTAAACTTAAATTGTATCTGAATTAATAAATTATTTTATACATTTTTACATTTCAAATATTTACAGAGGCCATCAAGGAGTTTAGTGATGGCCAAATCCATGAAGATGAGGCCCTCAAATGCTATATGAACTGTCTGTTCCATGAGTTTGAGGTGGTCGACGACAATGGCGATGTCCACATGGAAAAGCTCTTCAATTCGATTCCGGGCGAAAAGTTGAGGAACATATTGATAAGCGCTTCCAAGGATTGCATTCATCCGGAGGGCGATACCTTGTGTCACAAGGCCTGGTGGTTCCATCAATGCTGGAAGAAGGCTGATCCTGTCCACTACTTTTTGGTCTAAGATAGGATATATTTTTAGGGCGGATCTCGGAGTTGAGCTAAGAAATCAGAGAACAGGCAATGAAAGCTCAGTTGTGACCTCCTTGCTAACAAAGTTGTTTAGATTTTAAATAAATATGAATAAAAGGTTGCTGGTTAAATGAAGTATTTATAAACATGTGTTTTAAAATATTTCTAAGAGATAATTTTGAATTGGTTAATGCTAGAGATAAAGGCTTAAGAGATTTAAAATTATGTAGTAATGTGTTTAATAAACTTCAACTTAATTGATTGAATTCGTGTACCTTATAGCCTTTCAGTTGGCCTCTCCGAACTACATTTACCTGTTGGCTGTGTAGATAATGCCACCCCTTCTGCATCCATTCGAAAAAGCTCAAGTGGACTTGAACTCAAAGGGAGCTTCGATATTGAGCTACTTACAAAATCAGCTCGTCTATCCTGGATCGACAACAAAAGCTGGCAGTGGCCATTGTGGGGATTGCTCTTCCTTGATTACTTTTGCAAGCTCGGAACTTTACGTTTTTGCATTTCTTTCGGTCCGTCTGGCTCGAAAGTTGGTTTAGTCTGCAATGGTTTGACCCACAAAGCATTTCCATTTGTATACACAGAGAAAAAAGGCTTAGAAGGTGAATATTTAAGACCTCATTGGGATTAAAATTGAATAGATTTGTAGTTTTGTAGATATCTTAACAAGTTTTGAAGCAAACGTTTATTAAGCTTTCCTAACTTGTTCCTTACAATAACCCACAATTTTCTATAATAATTAATCCAAAAGAACACTGAAATTGCTCAGTGTACCGGGGAATTCTGCACCTAATCATTAAAGACACGCCAGGGGGCGTGACCCTTGAGTTTGGGCCTGCACTTATAGGGGCGATGCCATTATAGAGACACATTGCATCCACATGAAGCGCCAATTGGCCCGATAACTGAGTGCGGCAGTCAGTTGGGTTGAGGTTTCGCCAACGACGGCACAGCGAACTTGGCCAAAATCAATATAAAAGCCAAGCGCTGCAAAAGGCAATAAAGCAAATTCAATTGTGACTGCGGTTGTCAAACAATCTCTGCGTGGCGTGTGTGTGTGTGTGCAGTATCGAATTTTTCCCATAACTACTGGCACTGACGACGGGCGTGGGGACAAAGGTAGGTTGGAAAGGACCTGCAGGAGGCAAAGGCCGAAGGTGACCCAGGAGGAAGGCAGGCAAGGGGTCGAAGGTTGCCCAAGCATAGGCAAACGACGCGTTGCAACACGAAAATTGAAATGGCAATTAAAAAACCATCCATCGTTCATGCCGCACACAACGACTCTCCAATACATACACATACACAAGTCCTCTATATTCGTCCTGCAAAAATGCAATGTTGCTGTAATTTCATTCGTCGTCCTCCGTTTCTGCAAGAGTGTGTGTGCGAGAGTGTTGGTGTGGGCCGGGGGCGAATGTCGTTTTGTGGCTTTGTTTCGGTTGTTGCGTTGACATTTGATGAAACAAAAGTGACAGTTGGGCGCAAGTTGAAGTCTTTGTTTTGTGTATTTCGGTTTTACAATTTCAAAAGAAGCAAACGAATGGGAAATTTTATATTTTGATACCCTGGACATTCGGTGACAGGTGTGGGTATCCTGGGACGTGTATACATATAACAAAAATATTAAAAAAATAATTAGAACACCAGTTACTATAAAGAAGGGTTATAATTACATTCTGCTGAAATATTTGCAAATCATATATGATCTGATAGTATGACAATTAAAGCTTTAAAATGGTTCTAATTAATTTAAAGAACAAAGACAGATCTCTATATTTTATTAGATGGAACATTCAATATACATATGTATCTAGAGAATTCCATGTGTCTTTAAAAAAGGCTAGTGTTTTTAACCAAATTCTTGATTTCTTTAATTTAAAGCTAGTAATGTGAAAATCTACAAACAAATCTGTTATTTAATCTTGATTTTTCTAAAGAAAATAAACCTTTTCTTGCTCAAATGTTTGTTAAAATTTCCATTGCCGCTCACCATACATCATAAGGAATCCTCGAATCCTGGAATCCTTGAATCCTTAGCTAGGCAATATATCACAGTCGACCTGAGCGCAGAATTTCTGAGAACAGTTGGAACGGAGCGGAGTGCCACGTGGGCATGTGTTTGTCAGACGAAACACGACAATTGTAGACTTGTGACGACTTCGCTGACGTCTCGGGCACAGTTCCGTTTCCGTTTTGGCGGCAGCTTTTTGTTCGGCCATCAGCGGTTGGAATTAATTTAGCGTGCGCTGAGCTGGCAAGAAACAACTGATTTTTGTTGCTATCCTCGTGGCTTCTAAAAATACAACAAAAATATAAAATAAAACAAAAAAATACGAAAAGGACGGAAAAATGCTAGGACTTGGCTCTCATACACATGGGCAAAAACCAGCACTGAAAATTTTGTATAAATTTCAAATGAAATTTCATAAATAAGAGAAGGATGTTTGTATCATTAAATAATGGTACCTTTTAAGTTTTAATACCCTGCAAAGCTATACAAATTACACAACAATTAAAGACTTGAATATAAAAACACCTTTAAATTGAAATTTAAATACTATTCGGGCGTAAAATTAAAGTATAAAGAATGCAACCAAAAACCAGAAAAGAATTTTTATACATAGTTCATTTACGTAACGCTTTTCGCCTCTGTGTACGCACACACAGCTACCCACAGTGTCATTGTCCAGCTGTCACGCGTGGCACATCGTCGTCAACAGCATCTGCATCCTCATCCTCTTCCTGATTCTTATTCGGATTCGCATCCTGGCCCTTCCGATGCTTGCCCTCGTCCTGGGCCGTGTACTCTCTTATGCATCGTCGCTTTTGTTCCACGTCCCTCGTTTATTTTTTCCTGGGCTCTTTTTGTTTTACTCAGAATTTACAAACAAGGCCGAGACAGAGGACAATTTTTGCTGTTTCACAGTCGAAAAGGAGAGGAAAGGAGCTGAACGGAACAGAACGGAACTCTGAGGGCCACATTAAAATGGCTTTGAATGGCTTTGGTCGGCGTGTCAGTGCGTCTGTCCTTTTAATCGCCTTGTCGCTGCTCAGCGGAGCGCTGATCCTGCCCCCGGCTGCGGCGCAGCGTGACGAGAACGTGGGTTAATGAAGTGCCCGGCCGCGTTGCAACGCCCACTTAAGCAACGATTTTTAATTGCAGTATCCACCGCCGGGCATCCTCAAAATGGCCAAGCCCTTCCACGACTCGTGTGTGGAGAAAACGGGAGTCACCGAGGGTGAGTGTTATAATCCGGCGCCGAAGTGAGCCTATAATTGTAGCCAACATGAACTCGGCAGATGCAACACTTGGCCAAGTGCTGCATTTCCATGCATCGTCAAATTCTTGAGTATCAAATGGATGATTACTAAAACTCAGGGTATATTCTTTTTCAGTAAATATGGCAATCGAACGATTTTTAATAATAAATAAATATTATTATGCTTAAAAATAAAAAATTGTTTACCTACAGCTGCCATCAAGGAGTTCAGTGACGGGGAGATCCACGAGGACGAGAAGCTCAAGTGCTACATGAACTGTCTGTTCCATGAGTTTGAGGTGGTCGACGACAACGGGGACGTCCACCTGGAGAAGCTCTTTGCGACTGTGCCGCTACTTATACGCGACAAGCTGATGGACATGTCCAAGGGTTGCATTCATCCCGAGGGAGATACCTTGTGCCACAAGGCCTGGTGGTTCCACCAGTGCTGGAAGAAGGCCGATCCCAAGGTGAGCACTGGCCTTAAAGGCCCAAGAATCCCACTTCTAAAGGCGCAATTTTCTTGCAGCACTACTTCTTGCCTTGAACACCTGGATGATCCTGTTCTCTGATTAACCCGTCGCCGGCCCCGCCCTAAATGTATTATGATTTAGTTTTTCAATAGCTGTCGAGTAATAAACGTAGCCGAGTTGTGCATGCAAGTCGCCGAGCTTTCAATTATTTGTCGACTGCCAAAAGGGCAGCACTCAATGCGCTCAAAAGTGCGCTGCAAAAAACGGGGCCGCACAAAGGCTCCGCCATGCCCCTGCAACGCACACACGCACACACACGGCACTTTTGACATAATTTATACGCATTGTGAGTGAGTGTACGCTTGTGTGCCTGCAACGTGTGTTTTTAAAATTATGCGTAAACTTCACCAAGCTTGTTTACGCCGACAAGCGTGTTACGTCGCAGCATTTAACATAAACGCGAGCTGCTGTTTTGCGCTTTTTACTTCCCATTTTCCGTCAAAGCGGAAAAAACACATTTTAAATATGTATTTAAAAAAATACCAACCAACTGGTCGGCAAGGGGCACTCAGAGTCATTAGTTCAGCTCTGGATGGTTGTAGAAAAAAATGAATACAATTTGAATTATTTCACATTGGGCATCAATCACATGGCTTTGACACCGAATTCCTTTGGAAATATAAATAACTTTGACAATTATTGATGTGGTTTTGAAAAAATTAATTAATTGATTATTACAGAGAACAAATTAATAAAAAATATATGGTATTTGGTTAGGCTTTAACTCTATTATCAATAAGACAATACAAATAATTAAATATTAATGTAACTGATTTATATATTTTTTCATTGCTAAAAAAAGACTGATAATAAAAAGGATATTAAATATAAAATTCCCCTTTCAATTAAATAAGAGAATCGGAAATCGGAATATGTTCTGTCTTCTTTAAAAGCTCTTCCCTAAAAATATTTCCACTATCAGCATTTAAAAAATACCCAATTTTAAAGCATTTCGCTTAGTCGTTCCTATATGTAAAGGTTTTCCCGACTCCGCCCCATCTCTTCCGCTGGCATTATATTTCCAGGGCCATTAATTCTAATTTTTTTTGAATTTAACATATATTTCATTGCTGTCGGTCAAATGCTCGCTGGCACCTTTGAAGCGTCGGAGTTGGGTTGCAGGACGGGTTTCCCAGGGTGGGTCCCGGGTTTTTTATTGTTTCGACGACTTGTTGCGCCCAGCTTTTCATTTCAGAGTCAATGATTTATGTTTTCACTTGCGCCCCACGTCCCTTTAATGCTCTTTTTATTATTTATGCGTATTGGTTTTCATTTTTCTCCATCGCCTGAGTGAAAAGTTTACTTACAAAAAAAAAGAAGAAAAATGCGCTTAGCTGCGCTAAAGGTCCTTTTCCTTGGCCCTTATCCGTGTAATTGTCGGAAGAAGCTTTGGGGAAGCGGAATTCTTTTTGTTGAGTTTGGCCAGCTCATTATTGTCAGCTGGCGATTCTCAGTTGCCGTTGTCATCATTACATTTCACTTAATACTAATTTCTTTTCCTGCCGCTGCACTGTGAAAATACATGCAAGGTACATTTTAAACTTACTATTTGGCAATAAAAAATACATAAAATAAAATATGTTATGCATAAAATAACTAAATATAAAAATGTTCCAAATAAAGTGAAAATAAATGTAGGAATAGGCTCTTGATAAAACTCAGAAACATAAGAAAGCCTTCTTAGTTTGACATCTACTTTTCTGACACTTTTCCCAGTGCTTAAGTTCTCCAAATTGAAGCACCCACACATCTGCTGAACTAATTTGGTAAATTGAAAATTTTTTGACAGCCTTCAATGAAGTGTGGCCGACGACACTTTACGCTGTGCGGTTCATTGAAGACGGGATGGGATAGAATGGGACTTGGGTCCCTCAATGGATTTCCACACGAGCAGCTTGAGCCATTTAGGCAGCCAATTAGCTGCCCAAATGTTGGTTAATTTCCTGGCCGCCTGTTTTTGTTCCTAATGATACAATCATCTAATTGATTTGCCCCCCAACCATTTTCGTTTCCACAACCGTTGCCAATGCCTTTGCCTTTGGTTCTGCACAATTCACCGCGAATTTGCAGGCTGACCTGTTTGGGTAAGCAGTCCCATGCATTTGTAATTCGAAACTGACACAGTTGGCAGTGGAATGCGATTGGATTGGCAACGGAAGGAGTCCGGTCCGGGGCCACGTGGCTCTGGCGGGGCGTACAATTAATGGAAGTTTAACTGTTCAATTGAAGCAGATTTTTTTTGGCCGTTTTCCTTTTTTCCGGGGGTTTCTTTTTATATTTTTATACTTCGGGAAAAGGTATATTGTTTTGATTCATTTGATTAATTCATTTAATTAAGGATTCTATTTGAAACTTAAATCTAAATCTAGGTAATTGCTCAACTTGGGCAAGCTAGCCTAAATTTCAAGTAGTTCTGTGGCTTTAAAAAATTCCTGAAAAATCTATAGCAATGTTTTGAGTCTCTAAACTATATCCTGCAATTGTTGGTCTTTAGATCCTTTTACAGGGATTCTTTGGGGTCGACTATGGTGCTCAGACTTATTTGAAATGAGTACAAGCGGCCGTGTTCCTTGCCATTAGGGCACTTTGTTCATTTTTCATTTCGTTGAATTCTCTGGCGCGTTGGCAAAGTTTTTTTCTTCACTAAACGCTGCCCCGCTTCCAACTGCCTTTGCACTTATTTTACGCTCTATTGTTCGTTTTGTCGGCCACGTCCAGAGCAGAGAGCACTCACTTTCTCGTCCTGGCCTGGACTGGCCTGGGCCGGTCGACCCATTCATATTTTCCTGTAATTTTTTTCCGTTCGCTCACAACTTATTCTTGTCGTTTCCCGGTCAAAATGTAATTCAAAGGGAATTAAATTTTCCAACGTTTGTGTTCGCTTTCGGGCAAAAATTTAGGTTAGATGCAATGGCTTGATAATTAGCATATAACTCGACAATTGGCCACAGTTTTGTCTTGTCCTTCGTCGACTGTATCCGCAAGTATCCGCAAGGTCTGGCAATGGGATTTGCATAAATTGACATTGAATGCAAATTTTTTGTCGCCACTCCGTTGCAGAGGCGATCAAAATTGTTTTCGATGTAGCGCAAAATGAAGGGGAACCTCACCCCAGTGCAAAAAGCGCCAAGCTAAGCGTTAACAAACAAAAGTCGATAACGAAATAAGAGCGCGCTCTATCTGTCGATTTGTATAAAAAATCAAATTAGTGTGCCATCCAGAAATGCAGCGACAGCTGCACTGAGAAAAAATGTGCTTGGATAATGTGAATAATAATAACAGGTAAGTAAATTACATATAATAATTAATTCAGATAATTAAACAAAATTATTATCTGTGACTTCTGAAATATTTTATTCACTGAAATTATTTTCCTTCAGTGTTGGTAACCCGAAACACAGACATTAACTTGAACAGCGACAACAAGAACAGCAAGGCAACGGAATTGAGGCATTGCCGGACAGCGTGGTGGCCAGGAGGATCGGATCTGTTCGGTTTGGTCACTGGCCCGGGCCCTTGCCCGACGAAAGGACCCCATTCCCTTCACGATTTTAGTGCATCCGGCGAGGTTGTGTGGCGGCTGTTGTTGCGCCGCATGCTGCCGATTTTTATTATCCTTTTGTATATCCCTCTCTTTTTTTTTTATTTTTTCTTTTTAGCTGCCTGTTATCCGATTTGCATGCCCTGGTAAATGTAGAGCGAGAAGCCGAAAAATTGTTTAAAATCGAGCTGAAACATTTTTCGTGGTGGCGGGCCGCAATAGATTTAGCCAGAAGCTAAACTGCACACTATATATGGTTGCGACTAATGATGATTGAAAGGATTGCGGCATTTAAGTTGCAAGTTGGTCATCAAAATGTCTACACATCACTGGCAACCGACTAGTTGGGGTTTGGTAGAGAGAAAGGTAAAAGATTTTAATTTATTATAATTAATTTATCGGGTGATTTTCGAAGGGTTTTAAGCATTTAGTTGCCTTTAAATTGTCATTTAGCCCCTGTATTATACTCGAAAGATGCTTCAGGAGGGTATTTAAACAACGACTCGTCCCAGTTAAGTCACTTTCTTGTTTTTATAATTTTTCCACTTTCCCACGGTTCATTTGCCACGCATTTTTCACTCCGGCACAAGCAAATGTTAATAGCATCAACAGCCAGACCGCCCGACTGACAAAACATTCGTAATGCGGGGAGTACTGCACAGTTGAGGGGCTGACAGCAATTACGCTCACTTGCGTCGTGTTTCCACTGCCAAATGGTCTCATGCTGCATTTAATAATTGCGCATACGCAACGTTGCCCCTTAAAGCGAGCCAGCCTGCGACTTCAAGTGGAAGACATTTTATTGCCCGGCACACATATGTCTATGTATGCATAGGAACTGCACAGAATAGGATCGCAGAGACCAGTTGGATTTCAAAACGAGCATTCACCCGGAGCTGCACAAATACTTCAGCTTATCCTTTGTCTTTTGTCGCAGCCTTGTTGCATTAGTGACGTGCCGAGTGCTCGGCATTGTGTCCAAGTCAGCCCGTGGCGATTCATCTGCACAAACGGCGGCCCTAGTCAAATTAACCTCCATAGTTTAATGTCTGTGTCTTGCCCGACTTGTTTCTGGCTGACATGGTAGTGTCAGCCCAGGCCAATCCGCATGCAACGTATTTGTATTTCCCAGCGGTACGTTGATTATGTGTCTCCTGGGGTCTACACCTCAGCATAGCGATGGGTTCGTGAGGCCCTCGTGAGGTTTTACAATGCCAAAAAACAAATGATAAATAAGAAATATTTATTTTAAATAATTTAAAAGAATTGCTGTCTGAAAATCGGATGATTTATGCATCTGAATTATTTACAAACTTGTCAATTTAATATCACCATCTCTAAGTCCTGCACATGTCCCCCCTCTACGAAACTTGTTGCAATTGTATGCAAATTATACAGAGACTGCTGGCTGTTCTCATGTTATATGTAAATAAGCCGACAGCCAAATGGAAAACAAGACGCAATCGTAAACCTCGCAGGCCATTACGTCTGTTTTAGATTGAGGTAGGAGCCAGAGGCAGAGCTGGAGCCGTTGCCGGGGTCAGAGTCGGAATCGGAAGCGGACTTGGAGCCGGAGTTTATGGCAGGG